ATGAAATTGTTTCATATACTACTTAATGAAATTTTAATGAAACTGTTTCATGTATTTCTCTAAAATTAAAATAATGAAGATGATAATATCCATGATTAACACCCTCCACAATAAAAATGGTTAATCAACCTCTTATAATTACAAAAAAATGAACAAAATGAAAAATTATGATTGATTGAATGAGGTTTTCACGGTTTTTACAAATTGAGTGGTTTTTATTTGAACTCACCCCTATAGGGGTGAGTTCAAATAAAAACCACTCAATTTGTAAAAACCTCATTCAACCAATCATAATTTTTCATTTTGTTCATTTTTTTTTGTAATTATAAGAGGTTGATTAACCATTTTTATTGTGGAGGGTGTTAATCATGGATATTATCATCTTCATTATTTTAATTTTAAAAAAATACATGAAACAGTTTCATTAAAATTTCATTAAGTAGGTATATGAAACAATTTCATAACCACATATGAAACAACTTTATCAAAAAAGTATTATATGAAATAATTTCACAAAATTAACAATTTCATGAAATTTTTTTCATAAGATTAATGATGGATGAGAGTAGTTTTACGGTTTTTATAAATTGAAGTGGTTTTCATTATATGTGTGTGTGTGTAGGAATTTCCCCTCTTAAAGCATGGAGATCAAAAAGGGTTTCATATATCTTAGCATAAAGGATAGAGGGGTATACCTGTATCACAAACGCGGTTTCAGATATCAAGTTACTGAAACAACTCAAAGCTGTGGTAGCTAACCCCCTTGCAAGTGTAGATGATCCAACATCGATGTCAATCTAAAATAACATAGCGGTAAGATTTGAAGGGCATAACTTAAGAAAGCAGCCATATAAATACAGATAAATTGCGCACAAACTCAAAATTTTGCCACTTCTATTCTCAAAATTGGTCCAAAGTGTCTTACCGAATCTTAATTTTACAATTCCAAAGTGTCTTACTGAATCTCAATTTTACAAAGGAGGGAACTAAAATAAGAGCCATCTAATGAGATCAATAGAAAAAAAGACGTTTACAGATTCAGGTAACAAAATTAAGGAAGATTAGATGAGTTTCTTTTGTGTAATTTTGGTTATCATTTTTCTATTTGTTTAGTTGCCATCCAAGGCCATTTCAGGTAAATGACGGTATGCAAACAACTCTATGAAGTCCCAGCCCGATCTTAGATTTTTAAGCAACAATGACTCACAACTTATTTGGTCAATTATACATGATTGTTTGGTAATAGTGGTTTAATGATATAGAAAGTGCCTTATTCAGTAAACTTCTACAGGAGCTTTATGTAGAATGCCAATTTTTTTCCAAACCTGCCCTCCTAATTATAAATAACATGCTCCTTCCATCTAGGAAAAACTCTCCCGAACAAAAGCCTTATCAATCTATATTCTATAAAGACATATTAATCCACAGAGACAACTTTATCCATACAAGACTTAATGAAAAACTGACCAAACGGCCTAGTTAATTTACCTCAATGTAGTTCTTCCCACGGATATAGTTAACTTTAAGCATATGACCTACAAGGCTGGCTCGGCTTGCGCTTTGCTTGAGAATCCATGGTCCCTGGTGTAGAGTTGGCAATCCGAATCAACAATCAGAACACGATATTTTTTAAGATACAATTTGTATCCCTTGGAATTGAACTTCTAAAATGGCAGGGAGATATGAATAACCCGTTTGCTATAAACAACCAAATTTGAAAAAGAAATATATGTATATGAAACTGCACCAGCATACATTTTCAAGTAGTTCCGCCCAATGGACCGCAGGTGCTATGGTTAAGCTCCTTTTAGGTCCATCAATATTAAATGTCCCGACAACTTTTTTACACGATAACAAACCATGCAAAAAGGTTACAGGCTTTTACACGATTCTGCTTAGTCAACCGTTAAAAATGTTCATAGACCTTCTACAAGGTTTTTACATCCAACCGTGTAAAAATGTTTCTATTAGAAACATGTGTCAACTTCTTACACTTTTTTCCTTAAAACCGTGTAAAATGCCTCATTTTGTACTAGTGGAGTCTTCCATGATTCGAGTAAGGAGTGTATGTTCACATAAAAGCAACTCGACTCACCTTAGTTATATGAGGTAAGAGCTTAAACCTTGAATTTCTGAAAGCATCATCTCCTTCTATAAATTTCTCTAGCAAGGGCAGATCTTTCACAGGAGTACTTGTCATATAGTAAGAAGCAACATTATAAGTCGTTGAACCTGGAACCTGATTGATCACAAAAATCACAGTAAATAAGTTGAGTTCAGACCACTCTTTCTCTTTGCCCTCTTGCTAAGGCCAATTGCTCTCCTAGAGGTGACAAAATTAACCAACTTAAAACAAAATAGCCCATTTAACCCCATGAATTTTGAAGTTTATGTTTGAAATTGCCAAGGAAAATTTACCAATGGTTAAAAGGGTTGATAATTTTTATAAGAATATACCAAATTTACATTCAATTTGTCATGGTTTGAAGCCCAAAATACAAAAGTAAACCCATTTATCGTCTTATTCCCTGACACATATGTGTGCTAGATGTGAGGGGCCTAGACGGGTACATCTGTGTCTCGTGAATAGAGTTCCTGACACATCTATGCCCCTGTGAATAAAGTCCCTAAAATGGTTTAACTCTTATACCACGTAAGAATACGTGGAACCCTGTTAAATTACTCTCCAGAACAGTTCTTTGTGGAGAGAATGGAGGTTCCAACATGTATTGAGTAGAGGGGGTTTGAGTTTAGTCTAGGTGGATTTCAAGGAATTTGGATGTAATTTCAATCAAAAGCACAATATGATACATAGAATGTCAAACCCTATAATAAAATATTATGAAAAAGAAGAACTGAAAAAAGCAATGTTAATTTTGATTCTGCAAACATTTAATTGAAGACCGACTCTTTTCCATGATTTTCTTCCTAAAAGAACAATCCTTAACTAGTTTCGATAAGTGTTTATCGAAAAAATACATGCAAGGAATTATTTTGATGTTGATATAAAGTTTTGTCTTTATGATGTATTTGTGAAAAAAATCCAATCCTTTGATGGATTCATTATTTTATGTTATAAACAAAAGATTTATGCTATATATGCTTTTGTGTGGAAAGCTGTCTTTTTGCAACAAAGTAGAAAAATATATAAGGTGAAGGAGAAAAGGGGCGTTGTGGTCCAAGAAGCGAACCCAACCTAATTAGACCAAGGTCCATTTTGAGCGTCCCTTGTTCACTGTGGGGGAGTAAGGATGGTGATTTTCCCTGACCCGGCGGGGAACCCGGTTCACCCGACCCGAACGGGGCCGGGGATCCCCGGTAGACTCAAACCGGGGACGGGGACGGGGAATGTTACTCAAAACGGGGCCGGGGTCGGGGCCGGGGATCCCCGGTATAATCAAACTAAAGCATACTTTTTACCGGGTTTTGACCGGGGTTTACCGGGTTTTGACCGGGGATTGCTAGAATTTGACCGGGGACGAGATGATAATCCCCGTACCCGCCAGGGACCGGGGCCGGGCCCGGGGGACGGTATTACAAACCGGGGCCGGGGCCGGGGATTACAAAACCCGCCCCATCCCCGCCCCGTTGCCATGCCTATGGGGGAGTGGCTGTTTGTTTGGTTTTTCATTAAGTACTGTACTGTATCGATAAAGTTGTATTGTGGATTAATCTGTTTGTAATTCTGTATAGATTGAGAAGGTTTTTGTTTGAGAGAGTTTTTTATAGATCATAGATGGAAGGAGCGTATTTTTAATTGGAAGGGGTAGGTTTGGAAAAAATATGGCTTTTTGCATAAAGCTCCTCCCTAGAAGCTTACTGAATAAGACATTTTCTATATTATTAAGCAACTACCAAACAATCATGTATAGCTCACCGAATGAGCCAAGTCCCCTTAAGCTCATTAAAGCAGGCCGTTAATCTGACCCGCCACACAGCCATTGCTATCTCTAGTTTATAATCAGATAGAATTACCTGAAAGTTAACAATGAAGAAGAATTCTGGGCGGCCGTCAGCTGCAAAATTCTGCAGAACAAATATCATGAACTTTTTCCAGATCATATGGACAAGTATAAGAAATGCTAGGCCAACCTGAACTATGCTGCCCGGCCTGGCAGCAAGATGATCTTCCCGCTTATCTGATCTCAGCCAGTCCACAGCAACAGTTTGCATCAATGTGCTTTTGGCCGTAATCTGGAAAAACAAACATGGAAATAAATAACAAAAATCACGTAAAAAGCCTACATGGTAGGTGAAATTAGTGAATAGAATAATTGGCATTTCCAAGAAAAAAATGATGTAGCGGAAGAGTAACCTTCTTACGGTTTTGAAAATAAGTTTCTCCCCGAATTTGAAACAAAGAAGGTTCTGGAACTGACCAACTGTTAGGAAGATTGCCAGTTGGATCTTTAGGAAGAGTGAGTATGTAGTTACATGAGACACCATTTTCCCAAGCCATCTCCTCTAAGTTTGCACATCCCTTTCTATGAACTGCAGTATAGGAACATAATCTAAAGCTAACTCATGTGACTAATATAGAATACACTCTAAAGTTGCCAAAGTGGACTTGCCCGTATATTCGTTCAACTTATTCATCAAAATGTTAGAAGGTGGTGTGCAAGACTTGTCGTAACATGTATCCTGAAAATTCAAGACCAGAGAAAATTAGCAGTGTAGGTATTTCTTTGTATGTTCTTTTGGGTTTGGTACGCAGATGGGATTGGAGAGGACATGACATGACTGGTTGGATTAGAGTGAGGTAGGTGGGATGAAATAATTGTGCAAGGTTTTAGGGTTTTAATTTAAAATTGGTAGTTTAGTAATCTACCAATTTTGTCACATGTCCCTTATTTTTGTTCCACCTATGTTCTGTCTCAGTCTAAATGTCGCACCAAATGTGAGACAAGAAGTTTTTGTTCTATCATGTCCCGTCATGTGATCACGATTAGTTTTGACAGAAAAATCATGTACTACCACTAACACCTGAGAGTAAATTTCAGGAGGAAAGCCAGCAGCACAGCTACTTTCTGATTGATCATCAACAAAGGGTTCTGGAAGATCAAAGTATTCATCTGATTCATCATCCATCTCTACAAGTCCCAAGCGATCTGAAGAAACTTCCAACAATGTGCATTCCGCATCCTCCTTAGAGTCTCCATTTTCATTTCTTTGAGCTGCAATCCTCATGGAAGTTTCACTTTGATGCAGCAAATCCTTTCTCTTTGGCTCTTGCAACGAGAACTCAGATAAGTAATTGCGTAAGTTTGTTTTGAAGAATTCTCTCAAAGCTACATATATATAGATGGAAACATTGATTCGTAAAAATAAGGTAGCAGTATGATTAAAACAAAAACACAATAATCATGTAAAGAGGCAAACCAGCAAGTCTCCCAAGCATGTGAACCGAGAGAGATTGAGCAGAAGATTTTTGTAGATAGGAATTCCAAAGTTTCCAATCAATATCAAGCATGTGTCTCACAACTGACTGTTTACTTTGATACACAGGTGATATCACATACCCTCCACCTGAAAAAAGAATCAGACATGTCTTTCAGGTATTCCCATATGTTTCTTTCGCATGAGTCTAGAGTCATCGAGGATGTCAAGTTATATAAGAAACTTTGTTAGGATAAACCACAATAAAGTTGTTTACTGTCAATTTTCATCATACATTACTTTTAAGGCAGGCACGGATGTAGCTTTTCTGCGGGGGACATTTTTTGTTAAGTACAGAATGGTAAAGAATAGCTGCAAAAAAAGCAAGGAAAAAGGCGTTATTTCTGGTAAAGAACTTGAGCAGAAATTATCAAGGAGAGTAAGTGGGGGTGTTTGAACAAATAATTCCATACTGTATGTTCCATTGTCCTCCCTCCTCCAGCAGCGCTGCAACAATAAATCTCTTCGTTTCATACCCCTGGAAAGTATTTATAAAGGGCAATAAATTGATTGCGGCCATATATGGACCATCAGAACTAGAGAAAGACTACAAAAAACTAGAGGTATGAACCGTACCTAGGTAACCAATCATCACTCAGAAGCTTATGAACAATATCAGTGTGACCATCTATAATTTCAATCACACTACCCTTCTGGAAACAGAAGTCCCACCTGCAAGGCATTATACATCAATAATCACGCTTCGATTGAGTTGGCTGGTTTGAAAATCTATTTATCATACATCATTGATTATACTTGATGCACGTAGAAACAAAGATAGAAACCCACAAAATGGAGGGAGAGAAATGATATAAACGTTCAAAGAAAAGCATTGTTCTCGGCAGACCAAATGTAAGGAGCTGATTCATTTAGTGGTCTCCAAAAGGTTGAACAAGATTGATAATTGATGAGTCAAAGTTATTCAGACTGTCAAATGCTGTACGAAAATAAAGACCAAAACCTGAAGGATACAAAAACACCCCGCACTTACTCTGATCTTGAAGAACCAAAAGACATGAGTATCTGGAAAATGGCCTCTGGGGCTCCATCGATCACACTCATCGCTGCTAGTGCAGGATAACCATTCCTCTGCTACACAGATAATTGAACCTTAAGGGGGTGTGTTTTTGTGGGGTTGGGGGGCTAATAGAAATTCAACATGCAGACCAACCTTTTTTTGATGTTCTTGATTTCTTGCCTCTTTAAATAACCTGAGACCTGAAGCAAGAACCAGACTTCTAAGCATGAAAACTTAGAGATTATGAGAAACAATTTGGAATTTTTTATGTTTACCATTGTGACAGCCAAAGATTGTCCAGTAAGATGATAGGTCAGCAGTTTTGGGATCTGTAATTGAGGCTAAAGAGAGGTGGTAATCAACAGAGTTTGTATCATGTACTCTACCAGAATTGTTTGACCTGAAATGGCATGAAACGATGCTAATATTACTGGGATACTTCAATAATCAAAGCATACTAACAAAATATCACTTGCCAATGGAACAGTCAAAGCTAGTGAAATTGCAACAGAAAACAATTGGGTGTAGTCATGAAGCTATTCTTTTTATTAGTTTACCTTGAATGCTGTTGTTCATATTTATCACAATCCAAAATATCTTCTGGATTTTGGTTCATCTATATTTAATGGAAGACGTTAGTCATTTGCCATAATGATTAGTTGCAAGTTTTTAATGTTAAGCAGTTTGCACCTTTAGAGATAATTTCTGGAAGGCTTCGACCCATCTTGCAGCTTCTTCAGGATTTCTTGCTCCTAACTATCGACTAACAATTAGGATTTTAGCATATGTATGCTTTTCAGAAACAAAGTTATGGATTTTATTTACCTTCAGACAACCACTGGTGCTAGAAATTCCGGAAAGTGTGAAAATAAAGAAGACCTGCAATTAGACATCAATGTGAAACAATCTGCAAGGTGTAGCAAACTAGACTGACAAGAGTCAAGACTTCAATTCCAGAACTAGTTGGCGTTGGGTAACAATGAAACCCATAAGAAATGTACAAGGATGTGAATGAATCAACAGTTTTAAAATATGAATAGCATTGTTCCATGCTCAACATTCTAAGGTGAAATACATTGATCATACATAAAATACTAAATACCTTTCCTCGAATGTTCTTTCTCCCATTGTCCATTACACAAATGCAGGAATTTACAACTGCACTTCTAACAGGACCCTAGAACAAGAAACCAAATTCCTCTTGATTTAGAATGGAACTAGAGAAGGTAAACATGAAATCAGTACCCTCCCTATAACAAAAATCAATGAGTTAAACAACATGAGCTAACAAATCAACAAATAAACATATTTGAACAATTCAATTAAATAGGGAAGGCAGTTGGTGAATCAGACGAATCACAAACAGAGTTTGGGTCCCTTAGGTTCGGGGACTTAATATAACTTAACTTAAGCAAATGTCTGAATTTGTCATAGTTCATGAATACTGTGCGAGAACCGAATTTTAACTACCATATATTCAACAATAATAATGTTTACCACCAAATTTTCAGTTGATACTAAGAAATTATAAGGTCAATATAAAGAGTGGAGTTAGAAATTTAGGTTTTAATTAACACTGAATATTCGTTCCTAGGTTTGTTTATTTTCCAATTTCAATCTCTCATCAATAATCAGTTTTTATTATATATTCTTGTAGTTTCTCACGGTTTGAACGATTGGAATTCAAACAACTAACAGCGAATACATATGTATCCGTATTCATTTACCACTCTACAGTTTCTCAACATATATGATAAATTTGTACCAACGTTAATAATTCTGGAATTGAACACCATACCAACAATAATTCATGGCAAGCCAGTCTTGTCCATGGGCAACATAATGGCTCTGACCGTGTAGCAAACAAAAAAAGGAGGGATCGTTTCACCTAGAAACGGAAGAAACATAAAGCAAATATATCCCACGATAAATAGAAAAATACTCCCTGTGTTGCGTACTGGTTGCAACAACACAACTTCAGGAGATTCTGAGTTAACAATTATGAAAATCAATCATTCAATTGTTTATGTAAATGCAAAAAGAAACTCTCAAAGAACTTTAGCAACTATTGACTAGTTCTTTTTCGTTCTCAATATTGGAGGAAAAACCAAATTAATGAGAAGATCAACAAAAAGCAAAACCACATAGAAATTAGCATAATGATCCAACATTCATGGATACACATAATTGATTATATGCTTCTTAACTGATTCATCTCTTACTCTCTCCTACTAAAACAAGGCAAGGAGAGCATTTCAATTTGTTCTCCCCTCCGATAATCCATTTTGAAAACAGAACTCTCAAAGCACACAGAAACACAAAAACCTGGATAACGATAACTCGAAATCAGACCTTATGGAGGGAATGTGAGACGGAACAGAAGCTTTTGAGATCGTGATTTTGAAGAACGTAGTACCGCTTCCGTGAGTACTGAAATCCAAATTTATTAGACCGAATAAGATACAGCCAACCTTCCATAATTCTGTGTTCATCATTTTCTGACGACATATCCATAGAACGAAGAATCCTCTGTCTCTGCGTCTGATCGTCTTCGAAAAAACAGGGCAACTCTGTTTCAGCAGAGTTCTGATCAACTTATGGAAGAAAGAAATCCATTACTAATATATATCCATTTTAGCCGGCCCATATCCGGGAAGGGATCCGATAGTGATCAGCCCTCGCGTGGACCCATTTTCCCGCCACGAAGAAGTCTGCAAATGTAGACATGTAGTCCAAATCAAAATTATTTATATTAGAATCTCCAAATGATTCTCTAAAGTCTAAAATGAGAATTTTGGGATTTTCTTTAAATATTGGATAACTTCTAAAAGTATACAAAAACTAGGGGTGAGCAATGGAACCGGGTAAACACTTGCGGAATCGAAACTGCCTTGGAACTGTCGGTTCCTGAACCGGAACCGATATGAGTGGTTCCGGTTCCTAAAATACGGAACCGATTGAGAATGATTTTGGTTCTCAATTTTTTGGAACCATTACCTGCCGAGACCGAGTACCCGGTATTTTTCAATTAAAAATAATAATTAATCTTTTTTAATACTAAATTTAAATTAAGTCAAGAACTTAGAACTCTAGATTAGATTTTTGGTCCCGCCTCATCGACTCATACTCTCAAGCCTGAGGCCTCTCACGGACCGTCTTCATCGACTCATAATCGTTAAACCTTGAACATTTACAATTATAGTATGTAATCGTTAAACTTTCAACATTTATTATTAGTCTATTATGGTTTGTAATCGTTAAACAATATTTGTATCCATTATTCYGTATAATTTGTATTCTTGTTTATTTATTTAGTGTGTTGGCAATGTTTTAATTTTTATTTCTAAATAACAAAATTTTAATAGTTTAGGAAACGGGTACCCGGAACCGGAACCAGTTCCCGCCGGTTCCGATTCATGTTTCTGTCAAATAGGGCGGGTACCCGCCTATGCTCATCCCTAATAAAAACCCAATAAATTATACAATTTTGAATGATTAAGTCCCTAAATTATTTTTTTATTATGAAAATTCATTAAACTTTCTCATTGAATGGTTAATTAAATCTTTAAACTATTTTTTTGAATGAAAGATAATTAAATTTTCTCATTTTAAATGATTAAGTTCCTGAACATTTTTTTGTAACAATAAACCATCAAACTTCTAAAAATTGGTTACCTACATTTTTTTAACAAAAAAAAACTATCTGTAACCGACTAGAATGATGTTAAAGTAAAAAAATAAACTTAAGTCAGTTTTATAGTTTCCAAACCCTATGCCCTTCAAATCCCTCGCAAACAACGATATCACTCCCCCCTTGTCACTTCGTTCGTTCTTCATATCGGCTATCACATTGTTGGCCCATGTAATTGATCTCTCTTTTTGATATATTTTTAGGGAGTTATAGGTAGTTTTACTTTAAAGACATTTCTAACCGATTACAGATTTTTTTTAAATGATGTAAAAACCAATTTTTAAAAGTTTGATGATTTATTTTATTGAAAAAATGTTCAGGGACTTAGGGGCCGCTTACCCCGGTGCACACTAACCGTGGTAAGAGTCATCGCATTCACTTACCGGGTAAGACCCTTGATCATTGCTTTTCGCTCTTACTAGATAAGATTTTTGGTCCTCGCCATATCCGATACAGTAATATGACTTGGTAAACATTTATCTGGATAAACGTTTGGTAATGAACCCTTAATCATTCAAAATAAGAAAATTTAATAGTTTTTTCATCCAAAAAATAGTTTAGTAACTTAACCATTCAAAATGAGAAATTTTAATGGTTTTTTCGTTCAAAAAAAATTATTCAGGGACTTAATTATTCAAAATAGGATATTTTGTTGGGTTTTTTTGAATTTCTCCCAAATAATTAGTTACCCAAGTGATTATTTTTTATTATTTCCACTAATGAAATTCCTTGAAATTAAATATATGAGAGAAAAATAATATTTTATTAAATGCATTAAATATTTTAATAATTTAATTCATATTGTAATCTCCAAAATAAAGAAGTAGTTGAAGATGAACATATTTTTTGGAAATTTTAAATTTTGATTCTCTATTTTTGAGAATCTGTTAGAGATGCTCTTAAATATTTAAAAAAATTGGTAATTTCAATCGGGCAAAAATGTACAAAGAATATACTACATCCGTCTCAAAATTAGTGTTTAGGTTACTATTTTCGTTTGTCATAAAATAAGTGTCCACGTCCAAAAGTAAATGTCTAATTTTTCATTATGACGTGGAAACATTCTCTCTCTATAATTAAAAATAAAATTGTTTTTTAGTGGATAAACATGACAAAAAGCGAGAATCTTACCCAGTAACAACGACGTGAAGGACATAGAGTCTTACCCGGTAGGTAAACAAGGGTAACGACTCTTATCCAATTAGCGCTAATTGGGTAAATTGTTGAATACGATGTCATTCTTATGAACTAAAATCTTACCCGGTAAGACAAACAATAGTGTTGAATATTACCAGTAAGCATTTACCGGATAAATGTTTGGTAAAACGGATGACTACCATGTGTTTATAGATCCGGTTATAATCCAAAAATAAAAGAAAAATATTAAATATTATTAATGTTACTCTTGCTCAATAAACTTTGTAATTTTTATACAAATACAAATAATTATTCAGAAAAATACAATGAAATTATTAGATAGGTCTAAGGGGCCGTTTACCAAACATTTATCCGGTATGCATTTAACGGTAAAATACAACACTATCATTTACTTACTAGGTAAGATTTTAGTCAACAAAAATGGCTTTGCCTCGCTCTTACCATGGTAAGAGTCATTGTCCTCACTTACCGGGTAAGACTCTAGGTCTTTGTCTCGCTTTTACCGGGTAAGATTCTTAGTCATTGTCATATTTATTCGGTAAGATAATATAACTTGGTAAGTGCTTACTCGAGTAAGCATGTGGTAAACGGTCCCTAAGACTACCTAAACATTTAAATCATGATGCTTGATTGGTTTGAGCATGAGCTACAAAATGTTAAAAGTGCTTGAAGATCTCAGGTTCAAATCCAAAAGAAACAAAAATCTCCTTGTGGTCACGGAGGTTCAAATACGGTGACTTCATACTACCCGCAAAACAGATAATCATCTTAAGATTAGTCAGTTCACATAGCAGGTTGAATATCTAGGTTAATAAAAAAAACATTTAAATCCTAGAACCTAAATGATATCCTAACATTATAAATAGTTAGGCACAACAATACATAGTTAGGCACAACAATAAGTAGTTAGGCATAATGTCTAATCTTCTACCCTTACATATTACTTACTTCAGTTTATTTTGTTGTAAAACAATAAAAAATATATATAATTTTTTAATAGTAAAATGTCAATCTACCACGGGTTCGAATTTTGTGGTTGTCAAAGCTCTTGTGGTCACAGAGGTTCATTTACGATGACTCTAACCATTCGATTGTCCGGAAATTAGTCGATGCACCTAAACTGGCAGCTTACAAAAAAACCGATGATTTTGGATATAAGCTTTATTGTACTTTTTTTTATAGTAAAAATCATTTAAGTATTTGATTGTTAGTTGTTAGTCAAATATTTGTGTTAAACTACGTTCTTGAAAATAAAGTAAATAAAAGTTGATGGTCGGTTTTCATTGTATCAATAGAAACAAAACAAACGAAGACTTTAAAAGGATGCAAGCAATATCGAAGACAAGAAAAGAAGCTTTACCAAATGCAAAAGCGATGGAAATCTGAAAAGAAGTCTGTGCATAATAGTTACGTTGCAGAAAGTGTATATGTGTTGTTATCAGTATCCAAATGAGCAAAACAAAATTGAAGTTAAAGCGGTTAACCACAGTGCATGAAATTTATTTGTGTCCTTGTCGGTATCTGAACAAACAAAACAAAATAAAAAACAATTAAGCAAAAGTATTAGATCTAGGTTTTATTTTCAACCTGCTAATCTTTGTTTATCTGAATCAACATTTATAAAAGCAAAATTTAATAGAATTGGGATCACGTGAGCAGTGGTGAAGGGGCATTTATGTTTGTGTATTTTATGTTTGCATGAATTATGAATAAGAGCATGATATTTGTTGGTTTTGGAATACTTGTTATATATGGAAGTTATGTACAAGAGTGTTATGGAAAAATTTGGTTGTAAATTTTGTAGTATAACTTCTTGTACTTGTTGGGACCGAATGTGTACTATTTGTATTTTTTGATATATGAAATATATGGTTATATGCGAATATGGATCATGAAGTGTTACAGTGTAAATGTTACTTTTTATTTTGTGAATGCGATGAAAGTTATAGGACCTGAATTTGTATCTTTACTATGTGAACCCAGTCATTTGTACACATCTTCACACAATACAAGGGTACCTTCACATATATTATGTAATGTTATATTTCTCATAGAAAAATGGCATTTCCTAAAGGAACCCACTTTCTCTCTCTCTCTCTCTCTCTCTCTATATATATATATATAAAGGAACCCACTTTCTCTCTCTCTCTCTCTCTCTCTCTCTCTATATATATATATATATATATATATATATATATATATAT